GGGAGAGTCCTGAAGCCACAATCCCAGAAGAGAGAAAGAGCATTTCCCAGCAGACCCTTACTGAGTGTGACATGGGATGATACAGAATATACCATTGGCCAATTTGGGCCTCAATCCTAAACCTAAGCTCAAATCCCGAGCCAGTAATTGTGGGTCATTACTCTGGCTGTGCTCCTGCCTGTCTTCTTATGCACCTCCACACTAGCAAAGCATGGGAAGTGAAAAAGTCCTTGTCTTGGTGCAACTAAAAACATCAGTATGTTATTAACATTCTTCTCAGCACAAATCCCAAACATAGCCTCATACTAGCTACTAAGAAAAAAATAATCTCAGCTGAAACCAGGACACTAGAATAAGGGTGTAACCCTGGAGCCATTTTGAGAAAGAATCCTTGTCTTTCTCTGTTCATGTAGAACTGAGTGTATTGTCAGTGGCTGCTTACAAAATTGCTTGCAAATTTTGCCTCTCTGTGAATTGTATTTTTGTAATTGAAACTCTCTAAAGCTTTTGTTCTGTGTTTAAAAAAAATTACTCTCTGAATGCAGGAATCAGTCTCCCAAACTGAGTGTGTAGAAAGGACGTTAAGACTTCCCTGCAAGAATCTAGCTTAAAAACACACAAATTTTAAAATTCGTTTAGAATTTATGCAATACTTAGTTTGGCCTGCTTTTTAAAGGATTAAGGAATTTTTAAATCACTAAGTAGTTTTGGCTAATTTTTTTAGTGTAATTGATATCCTAAATTTCAAGAGATTTCCAGAGACTTGTAACGTTTCTTGTTTCTTATCTGCAGGGCTAGTTGGTCAAAATGTTTTGGAAAAGAATTCAATGTTAAAATATAAGTGAAACCTTGTAATCTGCTACTCAGTTTGGATACACTTTTATAAAAATATAACATAAAATTTTTCTAAAAAATAGCCACTAGATTTAAATAAACTGTATGAGTCCTGTTGTAATCTCTCCAAGACTGCATATGCAGACTAAAAAAGTGTTTAAGTGTTATGATGACCATGTCTGTAGTGAAAAGAAGAAATAAAATATTACAGTGGCATTCCCAATTTGAACTGACACCTCCAGCAAATGTATACCATGAGTTGTAATGATATTGTTAAAAAAAACCTCTCAGGTAGTGTACAATCTCTTACCTATGCAGCATAGAAAACCGTAATTCAATTCTTTGGTAAGTATACTTGAGTAAGTACTGAATGTTGAGGCATTTACAGAAATAGTTCATTGTGTCAGCGGATGTTGACTAACTATGACAAACGTGGAGAATGCTTCAAATGGAAAGCAGAAAGTAAACAACAGGAGCCATTAAGTTCTTTTTAGAAATGGGTTTTTTTAATGCTTAATTCTGTCATGACACTTAAATTCTAAGCAGGAGAAGGCAATCAGAAAATCTTCATTAGAGGAATCAGATGTGAAATTTCAGCTCTTGCTGGCTTTTGGGGTCTCTTTTAATGATGATATTCCCACCTTTTCTACAATTAAATGGTTAAATTCTCAGACATCATATGTACTATTAACTGCTTATTGTAAAGGTATATAATTTTGAGTTTTAAATGTTAATTAGTTAAAGAATCAGGTAGGTATGCAACACAGATGTAGATTCTGTTCCAGTCAGTATCCAGCTATACCAGAGTGATGACTGAGAACATACTCTTCATGTATTCCAGACTATAGTGCTGCTATTCCATCTTTATTTTCACAGTCTGAATACAGCATACATGTATTAATGATCTTAAAGCCTAACTGGCTGGGAAGTAGCTGCTGGCTTGAAGTCAGCTGAAGGTATACTGTTATGTTCGCTTAAATTTCTTCTAATCATAAAATGAACAATACGTAGATTTCATTCTGTTGTACTTAATGCTAATTTACTGACTGGGCACATAGCCCTTGGGAGGTCTGTGATGTAACACTGAAGAACCTCTGAAGTGTTTTACCTCAGGAGACTTGTAGCTCTTATTCTGCCTTGACTGACTTTATTAAATAAAGACCTGACAGTTGGCTAGATTCAGAGTTGAACTTACTCTTATGTCTCAAAAATAGCATATTAGTTCATTAAATAAACTACTTGGTTCATACTCTTGGTTGACCTATTGCACTACTTGACCTCTCCAAATGATCTAGATTAGCATCACATTCTCCCTACTTTGCTAATAACTTGGATAACTTGGGATATATATTTTTTTTTTCAATTTGAAGTTTACTCCTGGATGCCATCAAGTGAATGATAGTAAAGCTTCCACATAGTCCCTGTATGCACTTAAAAACTTAAGCTTCACTGAGTATCTTTTTCATTCATGTTTACAGTCCTGGAAACTATCCCTCCAGTGAAGGCCAGTCTCCTAGTATATTCTTGGGCTACAAGCAAATTGCAAGTTATAATTAATAGAAGTAATTGCACATTAAAAGACTTGTATGGTCTTAGCCAGTGATACAGAATGCTTTTTACATTGCCAGGTAAATTTCCTTGTAACAATTCTTGGACAGAGAAAGAAGAAGTAACTATTACTAGATCAGATTCAATGCCTTTATGGTTTTCTTACTCTCGTTCCTAATGTGAGGATTTGTAGCAGCAGAGGATTTCTCAGGTTGATATCCCAGAGGACTACAATAAACAATGTTTTCAGAGTAGTACCAATTTGAACATAAACAAGAGAGCAGTCTTCTAAGAAAGGGTGTTCAACTTTATGCTTTAATCTGTATTGTTGCTGTACATTGCAAGTGTGTGCCAGTGAAACTGTTCCCCTTCCACTGAATTATTCCTAAAACTATTGTGCTTAGAAATGCTGACAAACTGAGGACATAAAGTGGAAAGCATAGTGAATCCAGTATTATCTATACAACAAGTGCACCAGTAATAAATGTGCCACACGTGCCAGTCCCCAGAAGCAGTATTTCAGATCTTGAAAGACAGATCTATTAGGACTTGAAGTCCTAGTTTGAAACCTGCTTGCTCTTGCTGTGGCTAGAACTTTATGCTAGTTTGACATGGCTTCTACAGATACTGCCTTACCTTCAGAGCTCTGAGAAAGAAAATACTTGTTTAAAGCTATCATTATCTTTAAGTTTTTAGTCTTAATCTTATTTTCGTTGCTACTATTTATGACATTGTGCTTATGAAGAGCAGCAGTGGACTTAAAACCCTAAAAATGAAAATAGATAAAGCAATGTTTTGAGCATTTATGGTTCATGTTCCTCTTGTGATAGAACATATAGATGATGAGACATTTCCTGTCATAAGTTCTCAGTTCATTTCTGGAAAATGTCAACATTTGATGCCTTTTGAGATGCCCTGTGTTGTCCAAGACATTGACCTAAACTTGACAGAGATAGCATGGCACCTGTTGTAGATCCCAATCATTGTGGACTGGCGTCTGAAGGCTGAACAGGATAAGCTGTAACATTTCAGGTGGCACTATATGTACACCTATGTTTAAGCAGATGAATTATGCCCCAGTTTTCTTGCAGGATGGTCCACTCTTCTGGTAATTCTGATCAGCTGAGGGATTTCTGTACATGTAAGCTATCTTGCCCTCCATTCTTCCCACTCCCTATATTTTTGGCTTGGTTTATGAAGTACGCATTTTGGATTGTTGTTATATTGTCATGAATGATTTCAGACATGAAATAAAGACTGGTTTTGAAATTTGACTTCTTTTAAAATAACTCGTTTGTAGTATAGCACTAACCGGTTAATTAAAAAGTCTTCTGTTGTTTTGTCTTGTAGAGCTTTTTGATAACTACATGCAGCAGGATGCACATGAGTTCTTAAACTATCTATTAAATACAATTGCGGATATCTTGCAAGAGGAAAGAAAACAAGAGAAACAAAATGGTCGCCTACCTAATGGCAACATCGACAATGAAAATAACAGCCCACCAGACCCAACCTGGGTTCATGAAATCTTTCAGGGAACATTAACTAATGAGACCAGATGTCTTACATGTGAAACTGTAAGTCTGTATATACTTCATAAAATGAATTTTTCCATGTTTCCGAACTTCATGTTTCATGATTCATTTATCTCAACAGAGTAACATACTAGATCAGTTTCTTTCTTTACAAATCTTACATTCGTATGAACGTTTGCATTTTTTGTTAGTGAGAAAATTTCATCACCTTATGCATGAATTGTAGGAGAAGGCTTTTGGTCAGTATTAGGAAGTACCCAATTGAATTTTTGTCAATGTGATCATAATCAACTTCAAAATTTAGATTAAAAAATTCTAAATTGATTTATTCTTAACAGCAATGAAGCCTGCTACTTGAGGATGTGGAGTTCTTCTCAAATTTAATGTCTTAATAACTTAATGTCATGCTTACGGATACATTCCATAAAGAAGTATTTTGAATCAGTTTCCACCAATTTCTAATTTTTGTATTTAAAGCTATTGAAATCAAGATAGTGTGGTTGGCTTTTGGCACTGAGACAGTAGACTGGGATTCTCAAATAACATAACTTAATGTGCAGAAAAAGTAATCCTTTCCTAAATGTCTGTCCACAGGAATTCTTATAACCTAGACAATGAGAAATAAACTCTTCCTTCTAGTAAGCTATACTAAAATTTTATTTGGCAATAGTTTTACAATAAGAGAAAGCATATATTTCAGAAAAACTTACAGCTCAAGTTTAACTGCTTGAGAAAGAGAAAAAGCAGCGCCATTTGAAAATTACAGTAATTCTGTCATGGTCTATGCCTTAGATATTTTAAGAAGATAAATGACTGTATTTTTTTGTATGACTCTTCATACCTGTTTTCCTTAATTAGGCAGTGCACATATTTCAGTATGATGCTGTCATGGTCTGTGCCTTAGATATTTTAAGAAGCTAAATGACTGTTTTTTTGTATGACTCTTCATACCTGTTTTCCTTAATTAGGCAGTGCACATATTTCAGTATGATGCTGGATAGGAGAAATTAGTTGGATTAAATCTATAATTTTCTCCATCTTCTAGAAATGCACCCTTCTCTTTTATTTCAAAGAAAAATAGCTTCCTAATGCCATATGTAACGTAACTGCGGACTTCAGCAGATCATGGTATTTTGGGTAATTTATGTGCTGATTTCTAGCTACCATATTTTCTTTCCTGGTAGATTTACCCTCCTTAATAACTATTTAATTGTGACTCTCAATTGCTTCTCTTTAATGCTTGAACTTTTTTTTTTTTCTTCTTGAAACATGAGTGTAGCTTTGTCTCTTAACATTATTACCTTTCCTTGCTATGGCACTTTATCAAGGAGTGTAGTGATAGGACAAGGGATAACAGTTTTAAGCTGAAAGAGGGTAGAATTAGATTAGATATTAGGAAGAAATTTTTCACTGTGAAGGTGGTGAGGCACTGGAACAGGTTGCCCAGGGAAGCTGTGGATGTCCCATCCCTGGAGGTGTTCAAGGCCAGGCTGGATGAGGCTTTGAGCAACCTGGTCTAGTGGAGGGTGTCCCTGCCCATGGCAGGGGGGTTGGAACTTGATGATCTTTAAGGTCCCTTCCAGCACAAACTGTTCTGTGTTTCTGTACAATCCTTAGTACCATTTTAAAATGCTGATGTGCCATTTGCCAGCATATTTTATTAGTTATCAGGCGTATCAGAATTTTGAGAGTTTATATTGCTCAGTTCTATTTTTCTGTTAGCTATTGCTAAACAGGGTACACCATGTCTGTTTGCCACTGTGCCTCCTTGGACAGCTGAATTTTAAATTCAGTGTTCTAATACATTGTTTTTTAGTATATTAGGGCCTTTTTTCCCAAGCCCTAATGATCTGGAAACTATTTTATTAGCTTCTGTCTATTCAATATATCAGTTTGTGTCTAATTAAAACACAGTGACTTGAAAATGGGCACTTAGAAACACATTTACAGACATTAAATAAGTCATACTACTATGAATAGTGTCTTATTTTCAAATATAGTGAGTATATACAATAGTTTTAATGTTTATGGGAAGCTGTTGGCATTTAGAGTCTTTCTGTGTTTAGAAATGTAACTTAAAATGTCAGGAGTAGTTGGATATAGCTTATGTAGAAGATTACACAGCAATAGTGGATTAATTAGTGCTTCTTAATGCTAAGACAATAACCTTAGTATATTTTTTATTTAAATTTGGAATTTAATGTATACTTAAATGTAAAGTATAATATATCTTTGTTCTTAGTGAGAATGGTCATCTTCTAACTGGACAAACCTACTCAATGTTCCTAAAATCAGCATGGCAAGATTTTATGCTAATTTCAGTTGTCCTGATTGTAGAAAAGAAACAGACACACTGTCTCATTAACCCATCTCTAAGATAAAAAGCTGCCTAAAGATTTATCCTCAGTTTGACTATGGACACTGGAATATAAGGAACCTAGATATGATTCTTTAACAAAGATTTATGTTGTGGTTCAAGCCACACTATAAAATGAATAAATTACAAAATGGACTGTAAGTTTTTTTTACATGTTTTTAATGGAATTTCTCATTATGATGCTTCCCCCTTACTTGATAGAGGTAGTATGATGAAGTGAATGTTCCAATTTTTTGTGGTTAATTGATAAAAATGATCTAGAAGTTCATTGGTTTTACAGATTTCTCTCACAATTTAAGAAAAGAATAACAGTAAACCAGAGAATAATGTAACTGACTTCGTTAAGATTAAATTTGAAATGGCTAAATGTGGGCAGTACTTTACAGAGAAAAACAGGAAATTGCCTTGGGTCAAAAGCACTAAATATATTGATAATTTTTCTCTCCAGCTGATGGTCTTGCTCTTGTGTTCAAATGACTCTGCAAGGCATAAAATTCTTTGGCTCAAATCTACTTTGGACTGAAAGAAGGCAATAAGGAAAATCTCAGTGGTCTTTCTTACAGGAGTGCTACAGAAGCCTTAACTATGCCCTACTTTTTTTTCTCTCTTTTTTTTTTTTTTTTTTTTTTTTTAAACCAAGATAAACCATGCCTTTTTTTTCCAGCTTCATTTAAAAATAGTTTCTGTCTTAGCACACATGGGAGCCTACAGTTGCAAAAGCTTTTTTTTTTGTCAGTGAGTTGACTCACTTTGCTAATGAAATTCCAAACTGAAAGAAATACAGATTCCATGAGTGTTCACCTTCTGAGTTGTCTGTTCTGTGTGGCATTGATCATCAGAGTACAGCTGAGCTGTTTGAGTGCAGATTATGTCCTTGATGTGAGAACAACATACCATCACCTTTAGCCAGAATATTGGAGCACCCACATTCTTCTTTGTTTTTCAGGTGCTCCTGTTAGGAGCACGCAGATAGGTTTTTGAACTCATCAGGGCTTGATTCTGCAAGTGATGAGGTTTTCTGACCACGTTCATCTTTTTTTTCATTCTGTAGGTGATTGAAATATGTAGCATTGGCAACTTCTGTCTAAGGAAACTAGTGATGTTTATTTGAAGCAGAACCTCTAGAGAAGAGGTGTGGAGGGGTGCTGGTTAGAGTGGAGGGTGACTTCTTTTATAATTTGTCCTTTTTTTTTTTAAGTTAAAACTGTATGAGTTAATGTTAGGAAAAAAATAATGTTCAAATACTAATGTTCAGAAAATCTTAAAAATTAAGAATAACGTTTTCTAAATTATCAACATAGATGAAAAAAAAGAAAAAAAATCTGCTTGGCTATTGTTTCAGTTAAGCCTTTAGTGGTTCATCATGATCCTAAGTGCACAATGGACTGGCTAACCTGAGAGAGGTTCTTTAAGGCAGTATTATCAGTACTACCACTAGGAATAGAAGAATTCAATTCCTTTTGCGAACTTGTAGTTTCAGTACCAATCTCTTTTTAACCAAGGAGAACTCATCCCTTTCCTCTTCTCCATCTCCTCCCCACCCTTACAGTTTCTGCATGGGATAAAGCTGCCTGTAAATTCTTTGTTTCATGGAATTTTCTTTGATTAGTCCAAGAGAGGAAGAATGATCTGGTTGCATGTCTGAATAACACTGATCACATGACTCCTTAATTCCAGCTGTCCTAGCTGAAGCCTGCAGCAGAGTATTTTCTAGAACTGTATTTTTTTTTCCTGAGCTGTTCTTAATCCCTAGGCTAAGATGATTTCAACTGGGTTCTTAGTGTTACAAACTCAAGTTTGATAATTCCAAAAGTGGTTTACAATGGGATATTTAGAATAATTGTCCACACACCTAAACCATAGTACATCCCTGAAGACAGGAAATGTGCAGTGCACTGAAAATGCAAGTGGCATTTTTTTTCCACCCTAAATAATATTGGAAGTTTTCCATATGTGTTCTGTGGTCTCTTTAAAAGTATAAACAGTGCGCTTCAGCATATAAATGATGTAGTAGATGTGATGTATACTGGCGTAGTGATATTTTTTGTACAGGTACACTTAATCTTAGAAAGATGAGGTACAGAGGAGTGGGAGGAATCCTTGACAAGTCCTCTCACAGATCTTAGCAGCAGCTTTTAACTTAATTTCTTAAGTTTTTGTCTTTGCCCTATGGTATTCTCAAAAATAGTTGTCTTGACCATGTATACTTTTCTTTTTATTCTCCATGTATGCTGCCATTAGGAACTGTGTGTTTCTCATCTCTTGATAATCAGAGAACAACTTTCCAAATTTATTTTTATTCTGAGTTGAAAGGGGAACGTAAATCTCATATGTCTTAAAGATCATCTGACGTTAGTTCTCCTGAAACTGTTTAACTTTTCCTGCTTTCCATTAAGAAACCGTAGCCAGGCATCTTTTCTAAAAGCATATACTTTTGTACCTGGGAGTCATAAAAGGCATCAGTGGCACTGAGTATCCCCAGATACAGAGAGGGAACACTAGTAGACAAAAGTTAAGGTTCCAGGTTGCCATTTCCTAAACCGTTTAATAACAGTTGATTTTCAGGGCACCTGTGGATTTCATCCATTACCATTTTTCAGGATTTGTGATGGAATTTATTCTCTGCTTCTAGGAATTTATTTTTTATGCTAATTGCTATTCTTGTGTTTTTGTAAGAAATAACTATGCACTATTCTGCCTCTATCAGACCAGGTCTGCCTCTATCAGACCAGGTCCCAAGCTCTCATTTACCAATATATTTGCTGTCTCCTGCTCATTTAAGAGTATGAATCTAGCCAGGAAGAGGCTTCAAAATATTTGTGGTCTTTGTTAGGGACACTATGATATGCAAATACATAACTTTCAGTTGGAGGCAATCATAGGGGAAGAACAGAGGTGAGAGCACTAAATAGAAGAATCACAGTGTTTGTATTCTTTTGAAAACAGTGAGGTGTAGAAGGAAGTTGGCGTTAATATTGTTGAGCTGAAATACAGCATAATGGTAACTGTCATTATATGCCCCCAGAGACCCATATACACTTCTCTTTTCCTGAACAAAATCAGAAGCAGAGATCTAGCAAATCTCTGAAATACAAAGGCGACTTGTAACAATTTTTTAAAGGCTGTTACAAGGTAAAAGATGCATTCTGTCAATAGAAAATGGTACTGAAAAACAGAGGTAAAATAGTATAGCTAGTTTTAACTGTAATCTATTGTTTCTCTTTCCTGCAGATAAGCAGCAAAGATGAGGACTTCTTAGACCTTTCAGTTGATGTGGAGCAGAATACTTCAATCACTCATTGTTTAAGGTAGGTACAAAAATCTGAATTTTTGTAATTTGTCTTTTATTTAGAAAGCAGGAAGTAAAACTAAAAGCTCACAAGCTTAGCAAGTTCTGGCTTATGAAGACTTAAGAATATAAAATTATGTTTATATTGTACATGTTTATATGTATATTTCAGATAAGAAACTAGTATCTAGCATTTCTTTTTTTTTTTATTCAGGGGTTTCAGCAATACAGAAACTCTGTGCAGTGAATACAAATATTACTGTGAAGAATGTCGCAGTAAACAAGAAGCACATAAAAGGTACATGAGACTCAGGGAGGGAAAAATACAAGCCATGCATTTCATCAAAATGCTCTTGTATTTCCTTCTGTGTGTATATGAGGCAGGAGGAGAACGTTCTTTTTCCCTTTATTTTTCTCGCTCTTCTTCCATTTAAGAATAACTTTGTTGCATTCATCTTCCTTGAATTCAATGAGCCTACTTCCATGAGTAATGAGAATCCATGTAAAGTATTTTCGGACTCCTTCGATCATTACTGATTTTAAGAATGAGAAAAAGAGTGGCCTTAAGACCAAAAATAAGTTTTAAAAGACAAATTAAAACAAACTGCCACCAAAGTTTATAGGTGATGATGAAAGGTCATTCATTTCATCTGGCTTTTTACATGTGGTTTTGTCTTGATAATAAAATATTTTTTCCAATTGCTGTAAGAATCAGTTTGATGGCACTTTTTTTCTGATGCAATCAGAATGAAGATTGTAACTTTTTTTGTTAACTGAGTTTCTGGTTTCTTAAAAGTGCATAATTAGTTGTGCTAAACTGCTGCTTGATAGTGCTCCTGAAAAGTATCGGAAGCTCTGTGGAAGCCTGAAATTTGTGATGTTTAAAACCAATTCTTATCTGCCAAATAATTCTTGTAGCCTTGTTTGCACCTTTGAAAAACCTTTGATTTTGTGTACTGTGTGGTATTTATTATCTGAGAAAGTATTTGGCTGCTTAAAGGGGTGGAAACGCTGATAGGCTCTACTGGTTATATTACTGATTCTGGTTATTTGGTTTACCGTAGATTCAGCACATGGCTTTTGGCATATCTCATTTGCAAAGTCTGCCTTCTCATGTTGCCTAAGCTTACTAATTGGTGTGTATTAGATGGTTGTGAAGCCAGGTCTGTCCTGTTGTTTCTGTTGCCTTAGCTGTTTTAATGTGTGGGAGGTAATGTGATCCCTGACCGATATCAGCTGTGTTGACATAAACCTGTACTCTAGGCACAGCCATAGTGGCAAAACACAGCTTTTATAGTTTGTATTTCGCTTTTCATGTAGGGCTTAAGTTCAGATTCACTACAGTCATAATTTTCTTCCATCTCTATAACATGGAGCTTGTCTGTGATAGTGTCTACTCAACTGGCAAAGGTGGTGTACTGAATTTCTTCACCAGTGAAAGAACTCCTCTTATCAAATGCTGTTGCATTATATGAAGAGGACTTTCATTTTGAAAAAAGACATAGAGCAGAAATTATATCCATATCTCAGTAACATAATAAAAATGGCACTCTCCCTAAAAATAGTTGCTTCTGTCATCCTTCTGCCCTTCTCCACATTTTTCATTTCCTAGTTCCCTTGTGGGCCATGGAGAAAATTTGAGTCTAGCAGGTTTTCATACAGGTTACTGTTAATCTAAGTTTAATGAGAAAAAGGGGAGGAAGGTGGATTTTCAAGGGTTTTTTTTGTCCCCAGCCCCCTGTCTTTTGAAAAAGGATTGTCTTGTACAAATGTATTTCCTGACATTCTGAAAATAGGGTCTTAGTAGACGTCTGAAACCTGGGCTGTGTTGTTGAGACTTTTGACCTACCTTTGGGGCTGAAGGCAGTTTGAAAAATTCAGCACAGTGCTGATCTAAGGCAATTAGCTGTGCCAGGAAGCAGAGCACTCTGTCTTGGTTGCTCTGTTAGTAGGGGCAAATTCATTGCCCAGAGAGTGGAAGTCTGTGTTTGCTGCCAGGCCAGCTGTGGTTGGGTGATGAGGCTTTGCAGGCACTGTGAGATCTCAATACCTCAAACTAGGTAAAGGGACCATGGAGCCCTCAGTAAAACTAGATTTTCACTTCCTGGCTTTGCCTGCCATAAAATAATGCTGCAACATTTGTACAAAATCACTGGGCTAGAGCACAGCATTATCTTGTTTGGGTAGCATGAGGTAAGGTGACTAACACTGGGCTGTTTGTATCCCTTGGCAATGTTAAATGAGTGGCTTGATATGAAAACTTGGAGTAATACATAGGTAACAAAGTGCTGTAACAAAGCTTATTTTAAAAAGCTTGTTTAACTTGGCTGGTTTACTGAGGATCTCTGGAACAGCTTTATTGAAATACCTCCAATGTATACCAAGTGGAATCTAGGTTTTGCTTTTGGGAACTCAGGAGAGCTATGGGTAGGTATGATTAAAAACAGAATTCTGTGCTATGCGGTCTTTATGTCTAAATTATTATGTGGGTACATCATACCTGTTCTTATATTTTGTAGCTTTTTGTTTTAAATACACTTGCAATTCTCACAATTGTTATAATCCACCTTTAGTTTAGCAACACAGGGTATATTTGTTAAACAGCTGATTATTTGGGCTTCTTTTAATGCTTGCAAAATTTTTTAAAGACTTCAATAAGACAGGTTTCCTGTTTGTTGATATCAATTGAATGTTTTGGATGGATATTGGAAATACTGTTGGTGTTTTGTTTTATTTTTCTTAGGATGAAAGTAAAAAAGCTGCCTATGATTCTAGCTCTCCATTTGAAGAGATTTAAATACATGGATCAGCTGCATCGATACACAAAACTCTCTTATAGAGTAGTTTTTCCTTTAGAGCTTCGTTTATTTAACACCTCAGGAGATGCCACCAATCCTGACAGAATGTATGACCTTGTTGCTGTGGTAGTTCATTGTGGAAGGTAATAACTCTATTTTACAGAAGGGATTTTTGTATAAGCATAGCTATGCTTAAAAAACAAAACAAAACACCAGTATCTCACAACTCTAATAGCATTTAAAGACTTATTAAAATAAAAGTTTCTTAGGAAAGAAAACGCTGTGGGAGGTGTTACCAATCCTGACAGAACATGTGGCTTTGTTGCTGTGATAGTTCCTTGTGAAAAGTGTAACAGTGTATTTCACATCACAGGTCTTTGTATGAACTTAACTATGTTTGAAAAAACACCGCAAAACATGCAAGATCATATAACTTCAATAACATTTAAAGATCAGTTTTTTAAAAAGTTTCTTAGGAAGGAAAGCACTCTAGAACAGATTACTTTATAAAGCGTTTCCTTTAGGATGGGGTTTTTTTTAAGGCTTGAGCAACATTATCTGAAATATATGCATTTATTGTTTTGTTGATGACCTTGTTTCCTTCCTTTCAAAATATGACTGTTAGATTTTTATTTGATTTTGCTGTATTCAACAAATGTTCTTGTGGCCTCAGGTCTTAAAATCAGGGCAGCCCTACAAACTGCTTATTGAGTAGATCAAAGCCTGAAAGTTGAAAATGATGATTTATTGTCTAGAATCATAGAATAATTTACATAGTGAGGTCAGCTACTTAAAGCTCAGAGCAGGGCTAACTTTAAGATTAGAATAGACTGCACTGGGCTCAGTTTCATGACTGATTTCACTGCCTCTTTGGGCAATTTGTTCCACTCCATCAATGTTCTCACAGTGATTTTTTTTTTTTCTTATATCCAGTCAGAATTTCCCTTGCTGCAGTTTGTGACCACTGCCTCTTGTCCTTTAACTGTGCTTTCTGAGAAGAGCCTGGCTCTGATTTCTATATAGTTCTTCCATTTTGGTTAGTGGAAGACAGCAGCTGGATTCCTCATTTAGTCTTCCCCAAGCTGAATAAAGCCAGCTCAGTCAACCTCTCTTCATGTATCTGGTACTGTAGCATTCTGACAAATGTAGTAGCCTGCCGCTGGACTTCCTCCAGTTCATCAGTCTCTACCTTAAACTGACAAGGTCATGTCTGGAATCCCGTGTCCAGTTCTGGGTCTCAGAATGCAGAGTGGCAGGGATTATCACTTCACTGCTGGCTCTTCTCTTACAGTACAGCCCCACATGCTCTCAGCCCTGTCACCAAAATGATGTGCTGCTGGTTTACAGCTCATCTTGATCTCCTGGGCACACCTACCCATTTGGTTTGCAGGTGGTGCTGTTGGATGGCGTTAGTCTGGCACAAGGCTTTGCATTCGTTCTTATTAAACTTCATGAGATTCTTACCAGCCCACTCTTCCAACTTTTTGATGTCCCTCAGAATGGCAGTTCCTCTAGTTGTCAGTTACTGCCCTTTGTTCCCCCCGTGACCCCATTCCTCCCTAGATAGACCTAGGATTACAGTAGAGTTAAGATGACAGGAGAGTTTTGGAAAATAAGCCTTTGTGCCATGGTTTTCTGGGACACTCTTGTTCTGGATTTTAGGGAAAATCCATTCTGTCCATTTCTGACCATTCTGTCCAATTCTGACTATTTCTGTCTCCCTCATTCAAGCTGCAGTCGTGGAAATTTATCCATTCTCGGAGCCATGGCAGGAGGTGAACCTCTTTTCATTGAGTTATGTGATTTGGTATGCAGACATGTCCCTTACAGATGGCAACCTTCCCTCCCTGATCTAGACATCAAGAATTGTATGAGTGCTGTTAGCCGGTTAAAGTAGTTCTAGAACTGCTTTAACTAGTTGTCCACTTTCAGTTGTAAGGTTCAGCTATTTCAGAAAGTGTATTATCTCCTGACTTGAAATCTGATTAGAAACAGAACACTTTTAAAGTTGTTTTTTTTTCTGTCATAGTTGTGGAGAAATTTCTTGTCTGCTATAAGCTTAAGAGTTGTGCATTGTAACAGTTTTAATTTAATTGGGAGCCCTTCTCATTGCTGTGAGGATTCTTAGTACTTCTAAACTGTTAATTTAATTCCATTTTTGTTTACCGTGGACCAGATTAAGAGATTCCTGGTTGAGACTGTAGATGAACAGCAGCTCTACAGCTTTTTCTTTCTGAAGATCAGAAATAGTTTGGGATCTGTTCTGTCCTTATGAAAGATCAGAATGTTTTGTTTATTTCATTTCTCTATCTCCCTTTTAAAAAAATATTTAATTTACATTTTCAGTGCCTGTGCTGCTTATTCCTCATTTGAAATTATAATCCTTTTTTTAGCACAATATTAAATGCAGAGATAAGACCTCATTATGAAGATGATATAAGTGGAGAGGAAAAAAGAAAAGAAGTATCCAAACAGAAATTGTAGTGGTAGCCATTTTAATTACTGTTAAGTATTGCTTTTCTACAAGAAAAAAAAAACAATTTAATGAAATACATTTCTACATGCATGTGTGTTATTGTCTGTGTTCTTTTCTAATTTTATTTTACAGTGGCCCTAACAGAGGACATTATATTGCAATAGTGAAGAGTCATGATTTTTGGTTGCTTTTTGATGATGATATTGTTGAGGTAAGCTTTGTGGAACCCTGGACTTTTTTCTTGTACCGACCAGAGTGCATGCACCTGCCTTGTGTATATGATCACTTAAAGGACTGGTATGCTAACGAAAGAGGGTTCAACGTCAGTCTCAAAGGGCAGTAACTGTGAATGCAGAGCTGTGCCTTGCAATTTGACTGTAGAGCCCTTTGAACTGCATTTTTTGTTTTTATACTTCTTAAAAGAAGCTTCTTTATTTATGGCCACTGTCTTTCACGTTTGCTTAATAAGCTATTCCTGTGGCCAGGAGACGTGATGAATAAAGATATAGATACATTGGTTTTGCTGCAGTTCTTTTCTGAGGGCACTTTGTTGGAGGGAGCCATTTGTTCATCTTTTCTGGGAGCTTATGATTTAACGGAATGGATTGGTCTGGTAATCTGTTTTATTGAATATCCTGGATTGTTTCAGACGAAGGTGTAACAAATATCAAAATAGGAAGAAACTTCAGATTTCTGAGATTTTGCCTTAAAATTGAAAGCTAATCCCTGAAAAAGGAGCATTTTGCTTCTGATGGTTTCCTTGCTAATATTAGCCATGCTTCCAGGAATTATCTTTCTGTTTCATCAGTTAACTTTTATTCTTTATTGAGAGAAGAACAGAAACTGCTGGTGTCCCTATATTATAACATCTCAGTTTTTTTGCCTGTTCTATCATCTTACTTTTCCCCTTGTCTATGCTTATGCATGAACAGAAATTGATTGTGCTGTCCAAGTCCTTTTCCTGATTTTATTTGAACTAATTAAATCTATAAGATGAACAGTTTACATTTTCCTTACAATACACAATAAGGCTTGATTAAAAAGAAGAAAAATTCATGAGACACATACTGGAATTACCTTGTTAGTTGGCAGGATGAGTCAAAGGTATGGAAGAGTTCTTATCTCCAAGCCACATTATGGACAGTTTTTCACACAGGAAATTACAAACATGGAAATATACAGTGCTGTTGGGAAAGTAAAAGGATTGCCTGTGTATCTTATCAAGATACACCGTAAATTCAAATGTCTCAAGAGGGTCAAAAGTTCAGTTTCCTCCAGGGAAAACAAAGAGAGATGTAGTAGATCTCACATAATTTTACAAATATCAGGGACAAGTTCTCCAGTTCCAAAGCAGTAACACCTGGCAGTAATGTATTTTTTTGCTCTTAGCCCTCCTAAAGAGGAAGGAAATAATCTTTTGCTCTTGGATTTAAAACGTCTCATTGCCATTTAGGACCATGGTTCATCACATTGGAATGGCTCACTCCTTCCTGTGAGAGGTTTTGTTCCAAATAATGGGAATGAGATTAAATAAAATCTGCCTAAGTGAAGGAAAATTTATCTTTCCACCCTTTTGTTGTTTGTAGCATGATTGTCCTTGATTTAAAATGTGGCAAAAGAGCTTGCTTTTGGTTTCTTTTGTAGCTGAAAATTATGACAATGAAAACCAGACAATACACTTCATCTTCTTAGCAGGAGTTTTGCAGCTTTCCCCAAAAATCTTGGTTATAGGAGGCTTTCCAAGCTAACAGGATCACAGGCAAACATTCAATGTGAAAAACATAGAAAAAGTTAGCCTTCATTCTTTATCTTCTCCTTATTCTCCTCTGCACTTCATTGGCTTACACTGCTTAGATTTAGAAATTATAGTCTGTACTTACATTCCTCATATTGAATTTAAAGTCTCAATGGGATATTGTCATCTTTAAAACTTTTCAGTGTGAAATTCATGCAAGCAACGCACATAAGGTTGCACTCGTAGTAGGTTTACTTGATACTTAAAAATTGATATATAAAATGTGTATATCCACTACCCTCCGTGCAGTTGATGTCGGAGGGGAAACCAAAACATAACAAGTTTAAAAATTACTTGGATTTTATTACTTTTTGTAATTATGTGAAAGTTATTTTTATATGACAATAGTTTTTGGAGTGGAACTTTATGACATGTATATGTTACACAAGATATTCTTACTTTAAATTTTTGGGTTTTTACATACAGAAAATTGATGCACAAGCTATTGAAGAATTCTACGGGTTGACATCAGACATCTCAAAGAACTCTGAGTCTGGTTACATCCTCTTCTATCAGTCTCGGGATTGAGGGGGAGCTGTAGTGAAGAGAGATTTTTATGCCTCACATCTTCTCTATCTTGGAGTGGAGCAAGCACTGAAAAAAAGGAAAGCAGGGAGCTCCAGGGACGGTAGCAGAGTTTGCACACAACTAAGCAAAGAGTTTCGGATTCTTAAAACCTTTGTATCATTTACATTTTGTTTGCTCAGGTATCATGCTGACTACACATCTCCACTGCATCCCATAAGCAAAAGAGAGATACCAGCCACTCTTGCAGGAGCTTTCTGTTAGGTAATATTATCTCTGTGGTCCTAATTCAAAGCCCTTTAAGGTCACTGGAGAGCCTTTCATGGACTTCAGTGGAATTTGAATCAGGTTCCAACTGCACTGCCAGATCGGTGCAATAGGAGCATTAGAAATCTGTATTTTATACAGACCTTGTGTATAAAAGGTAAAGAACTCTTTGTGAACTTAGTTTCCTGTGCTTAAGTTTAAAAGAATTAGATTGGGAGGGTTAACGTGTAAGCAAGAAGATATATCTGGGCCCAACACAATTGCCTTCTTGATGGTAGTAGTTTACCTGAAGATATGAACTGGTGTCAGGGAGGCAAGTATGTTTTGCTTCTCTGAAGAAGCTTACGTTATTTATAATGTATGATCGGGAACAATCAGTAAAGATTATGGCTTTTAATCTCCGTATGGGGAAAGATTTGGTTTGTAATAGTTTATTTTTATTTATAAATTATTGTAACTTAGGATCTTTTGTATTGTCCTTTATTCTAACAAATATTGGAAATTTTATATATTAATTTGAATTAAAACTAATTATGTTTAAATGTTAAAGAAAAGCCAATATAAATTCTAAAAACAATGCCTACAACATCTATAAAAATGAATAACACAGAAGAGAGATTTCCTTCTGGAGGAACTGGTATCTGAATGAACTACTTTAATTAAATTAGAATATGCTTTTTCCATTAATGAGTGAAAAAAAGTGATGACCTATTACATAGAAGACTTTAAGAATGTGTATCATAAGAAAATGATGGTGCAGTGGTGGTATACTGGTCTTTATAGTTCTGTAATAATTTGTTAATCTTTCATACTCTAAACAAATTAGAATTATTTGAATCAAAGTAAACCATTTTCAGAATATTATTCCCTCTTCTAAAAATGGATCCACTTCTGTTCCTGATGGCAGGGGTGACTATCTTAAAAACCACTCAGCATCTCAAGTATAGATTGTGTCTGAGTAATAAAAAGAAATAGGTTTTGAATTTCATGAGACTGAAGATACCACATGCCTTTAAAAGTAATAATACTTAAGTCCTGTAGGGTGAAAATTTCTGAAACTAAGCAGTATACCTTGCTTTAGGTTTATGAGACAGCATTAAGAATTAAATCTTGACAAAATACCTGGTCTGTAAGAAATGTGAACTATTGTGATTTGACATTCTTCCACTTACCGGTACGTTGTTTGACAGTAGCTGAATGTAATTTCTGGAAAGTCATGGGATATGCATTCCAGATTATGGCAATCAGGTCTTGGGTGTCCTTGTCACTTCCTCTTCAGCTTGTGATTTTTACATTATTGTAATTTTCTAAGGTTATTTTATTGATACTGTTACAACTTTTGAAAAGAATGTCTCCTGTCTGCTGCTATAACTGACTATTTACTTACCTGTATCTTTTAGCTCAGGAAATGACTTCACCTATTCACTCAGTTGAACAAATCTTTAACAGGGTCTCTAAATAAATTGCGCTATTTAGCACCTGTCATACTGTAACAAATTGCTTTGTAAAATGCAAAGTTTCTGAAGCCTTCATTTGGCTGGAATTCTTTTATAGAAAATTATGTATCATGATTAAACTTACCAGCGTTGTAAATCAAAGCTTAAATATTGTGGGAAATGCAGAAAATATGATTGAATTTTTCTTAAAGGATTCAAGTGATTTTAGAACCTTTTTTCGACTTTCAGTTGGAAAAGGTTTATGGGGTGAATCAGTTGGATAATGGTGCATGTTAGAAGGATGAAGTCCTTTGCATACTAAAGGTACAGTATTGTAAAAGAACTGTCACATTACTTTTTTGCTAATTGAAAATGTTTGGTCTTTTTCTTTTTTTTTTTTTTTTTTTTTTTTTTTTGGTGTAGTTGAAAGCTGAGGCTAGTTGCTAAATACTTTATACCCTAACAAAATTTAAAACATTTTTGTTGTATCACTGGTTTTACTCCTGCAATGTATTTTTATAAGATACTGACTTTTATTTTGTATAGGGTTTTTCAGATAGTATTCCAAATTATATATTTCATTTTTCTTTTAGTGCAGCTGAAATAAGTGTAAGTTCTTAATTAAACTGATATCAGAAACTGCAACTTAAAAAAAAAAAAAAGAGGCAGGGGAGTGCAAAATATGACTGATTGATATGTAAAACATACAGGATTTTTTCTTGGCTGTAATACGGTGGGGAGTGTGGGAATGTTGTCAGTTGTTGTAAATGGTGGAAATTATTTGCTGTGTAACTATGTAAATGTTAATTGGGACTACAGTCCCCTATTTTGTATATTGGAGCAAAAAACTTCTATTAAATAAAGTATGTTCTCTAAAGGTAAGTACTGTATCCTTTGTGGAGCCCGAAAGTTCAGTCAGCTGCCTTTTGTGCTTTTCAGTGTTTTCAAACCTAAAACTTATCTGGAATTTCCTGTATTAAGCTAACTGCCCTGAGCCATGGAAGGCTGAGGAAGAAGTGTGTTTAAATACACTGCATTATATATCTTTCTAGATGTGTTGCTATAAAAATAGTTTGGTGGCAACCCTATTTTTGGTGGTGTACTTTTCCAGAATTAGTTTTTAAGGAATTTGTTGGTTTCTGAGGTAGAGGAGAAGGGAGTGTTTTGAAATATCTTCTTTCTTGACTTCTGTTTCCTCAAAAAGATCTGTAACTTGCCATAAAACATGCAGCCAAGTTACCTAAGGGATTTCTTGGATCACCACCTTGTGGGGGGGGGAAACAGAAGGAAAGAAAAATAGGAGTGTGCACAGCGCTGACGTATGAGAGAGACTGATCAAAGAAAGGGAGTCCAGCGTCAGAAGAAAAATATGCAGCTGGTTAAAATATCCATGTATGATCTGATATCAAGTAATTCTTCACTTGGAGTGTACGCTACTGTTTGTAAGAAATATAAGTACTTACAGTTTTACGAACAGTTCATACCGTGCCATATTTGTAGTTGTGATGACCACATCCATAGCCTTTCATTGCATGGAAATAGTGACTTCTAGGTGTTCAGGTACTTGTATGAATGGTTAAATTGAATTGTGTTTTCAGAAGTGAGTCAGGCATCAGATTGTGTATCTCTAGGTGACATTCAGATGTTAGCATGTAGGGATTTGATGGTGCTTCAGATCTTCTGCCACACCCTTCAACATCTGCATAGGACTGCAGGTATAACACAAGATCCACAGGAGATCTGCATCCTCCTGCAGCAGCAGCTTGAAGCCAGACAGGACATCCTGGCTTGTTCCCCATGTCTGTCTCAGTGTTTCCACAAGCACTATTGAATATGCACTATTTGGGTCATATGCAGATGAAAGTCTGTGTTTCTTGGTTGCTTTTTTTGTGGTGATGTTTGTAAAGCTTAAAACCTGAAGTATCTGAGGCCTCTGGTTACTTTCATAATTCCCTTATTAAAATCACGGGAACTTTATCTTGTGCTCTTTGGTCCAGTCTCTCAGCTGTAGGTTTAAGATGATCATATATAGTCTTATGATTAAGCTCATCCTTGTAACTAGAAGAAATTTTGGTATGTCGAATCTTTAGTCTTCATTTACCAGGACTTACTTAGCTTGTTTCTTCTTACCTTTTTTCTATAGAAATTTCCAATTACCGTGACAGAAAAATCTTAAACTATGTACAGGTAATGTCATAAACAGATCCTCATAACTTTCTTCATAACTGTTCATTCAAAATTAGTAATTGTCCCTTAGTGTAGTATACCTCTGCAACACAGATTACAGAAGAACAGGGATGAATTCTCTTATACACAAAGCTTTGTCTACTTACACAAATGGAGAGGTGACATCTTTTTTTCTGTTTAACTGCTTTGTTCAATGACAGAATTCAGCTTGGGCTGAAAGACAGAGTGGGAACTTAGAAGTGTTCAAAATGCATCAACAACTGAGGATGCCAAAAAGGGTTGGGTGGCAGTTTGTTTGTTTGTTTCTTTTTTGGATTTGGGTTTGTTGTTTTGGGGGTTTTTTTTGGATTTTTGTTTGTTTTGGTTTTTTTTTGAGTTGCCTGAGAGCAGTTATTTGAAACTAGTGTGTTATCCCTTTAGATGTATTCATAGATTAAACCGGCAGCAGTATGTGTATCTCTTCAGTTACCTTTATCTGTAAGGGCAGAAAACTTCATTTCAGTACATGTTAATAATCTGGGGGTTGCAGTATTGCATTGCAGATACTTTTCTGACTTCTTTGTAGAAGTTTAAATAATTCAGATACTGTTTGTTTGCTTTCAGAGAGTAGCTTTACAGTGTAAGCTGTCCACGTTTCCCCCCATGTTTGTCTGAGTTGATCTGAAGTTTGTGTGTCTTAGAAATTCAGTCTTTGTTTTTCCTCTTGATAATGCAATATGCACATTTATGGTTTGTGTCTTGTAAGGCTTTAAAGTCCTCTAGCCTCTCACAGCATAACGTGAGATGTATAATACATGACTCTTTAAATGCAAACCTCCAAGTACTCAATTATTCCTGAAATTAGTATTCTACATAGTCTGTGCTCAAGGGTTGCTCATTTTGCAGCAGCTTTGCTACTGATTGATTGTTATAAATGAACTATGCAAGTCAACTATCATGCAAACAAACACGGGCTTCATCTTTTAAATACAGAGATTTCTGGAATCTGTTTCCAGTTTTAACAATAGAGTGTGGTGAGGCAGAAATAAACTTTCTTTGGTCTATATTAAAAAATGTCTGGAAAATTGTCTGACTCTTACCATTTCTTTTTTCCTTAAGTGAGGTAATTTTTAGGCTAAGCCTACAAATCTGCTGTAATGGGTGATGAATCCTTTTGGGGGAACTTATGTAAGTATGTGTTGGATATATAAAGAGGATTGTTTGCAGACATCACCAGTTTTGAAATGAACTGAGTAATGTCTTCTGGTTTCTTCCCAAAAGTACAAATAAATTACATGATTTCTTTCCCTCTAATGGTTTGTGATTGCTGCCTGCATAAGAGATTGTAAGGGCTCAGAAAAGGGCAAGGCACTTTCTACCTAGCTCTTTGTACAGAACTCGGCAGCATTAGTGAGCTTGTAATTACAGAAGGATCATCAGTCGTGTCCTTGATCTTCATTCCGCAAGTTATGTAATCCAGGAGAATAAACACACTGCAGGGCCTGTCAGAGAGTATGAAGAAGTAGCTTTACAATTATTTACTAACTCACTAGACAGAAAAGCAGCATGTCCAAAAAAAGACAAAATGGTACATTTAATGGTGCTTGGAGAATTTAGGGGGTGCTGAAAACATCCTGCCATGCTAGGCTTTTGCTGCTTATTGAAGAGTGTGTGTGTGTGTGTGATTTG